CTCGTTCACCAATAGTATACATGACACGCCCCGACCCCGATATCCTCATATATCGGGATAGGCGCGTGCTGGCCGACACTCGAAGCTAACAAAGCCATTTTAAACATGCATACAAATAAAATATGTAATAGTACTACATAGTAGGTTTTCTGAAAACTCTAGTATGCCATGAAAAACATTCGTAAGACCAGTACGTATAAACCAATGCTCAGAAATGGTAATATAGTCGCCTGAAGGCAAATCCATAAAACCTCTGTATATCACATTCGTGACGTACTCAACTAGGGGTATTATAGTGGCCCGAAGGCATAACCATCACTCGAAGGTGAGCTGTACAATACTGGGTTACGCCGGTGAAGAGACATGGTATGCCCTATCACCCGAAGGTAAAGCTGTATGACTCTGGGTTACGCTAGAAAAGAAACACATGTATATGTAGTAATCGTACACCTTCATACTGATCATATTTTGCCCCAAATCCAACACCAAACCATTGAAAAACTAAGATAGGTTTTTATATGTAGCATCTGCAGGATATGGTATCTGTTTAGTTTCTTTATTGCGACTAGGGTTGATTTAAGTTAAAACACGCTTAATAATGCCCCACGAAGGCAGTTCGTAATCCCTACAACTATCCAACATTTTGCCATCTTGTCGTTACTAATTTCGCCTCAATCCTATGAACTGGTAATCCCTCATCCAAACATGTATACCCCTGACGCAGAAAAGACCAAGGGTCTCGAAAAGAAGGGGACAGAATCACCCACGTCTCTATGGGGATAGAACCTGGGAATCACTCAACTTGGGGCAACATAATCACTTACATTGCTAATCGCAGATTCGCTCAACACGACCAAGACTCACACTTGATTTAAGGAAGGAGACACTTTTTGGATTAATTTCAATTTACTAATTTCACTTCTTAATCTTACATATAGAACCCTTTAAATAGGAGGCTACCTTACATTGATAGGATAAATAACTTAATACTAAAGTTTATAGTTACTAGGCATCTAATTAAAACAGGGCTTTGAAAGATGAAAAGTCTCCAACAACATATTTAATGTAGAAACCATATTAATTGTTCTGCACTATTTCATTCTCCTATTCTCGAAAAAAAACTCGTCCTCGAGTTTCCTTTGATTTTTTTTCCTCGATCTTTTGCATGACCTTTCAAAATTTTCCACAACAGCCACAATAGCAAAAGCAAATTCAGAGCTGTCAAGTTGTTCCGTCCCACAAAAGATTCCTTTGAACTCCACTTCCATGTTATTCCAAAGCAAGGACACCTTAGTTCCTTGTTAACAGAAATTGACTTCAAATCAAGCACATACGGTTTCCAAATTATTGTTTCTTGTGATGAGTAGCGTTGGAGGGATATTGAGAAACCACAATCAAATTCATCAATTATTTTCTTCAATAATTTCCTCTCTAGATTGTGAGTAATGAAATCTTCCCAAATGTAATCATTATGCACAATCAATGTTTTTACCTCTTTATGAAGCTGCACATAAAACGTTTCAACCATTGTACTCATGTTATCCACAAAGCCTTCTTCTCCTGGCAGCAGATAAACTTTTTGATGAGCCACATCAACGGTATACTCGTCTTCGTCATCAGATTTGTCGTCAATTGGTGGAGAATTCCAATCGACGAAACGGATTGATAATCATAGCCAATCTCTTCAATGATGTGATCTTGAAAATATGCAGTTTCTTTTCAATTTGCTTATGATATTATGCATGCAAATTTTGAATTATTAATCACTGGTTTAAACTATCTAATTGTCTTAATGCTTCGCTACCATTAGGATTTTTAGAAAAGTAATTTGATGCAATTTTGATCGGAGGTCGGTCCCTGAAATTGACGAAGACTTCTTGTGGTTAATATATGCAAGTTCACTTAGGATGAATACCACGTCTTAAGGGTTGTATGGTTTTTCAAAAAGTTTTACAAAACTTAATGAGTCAGGCATGTTTAAATTTGATCTGACTACCACAAACAGATTACATGTTTGATATACGCTCTATGTTGGGGGTCCAAGTAGGCATATATTAGGAAAACCTAACCTTCAAAATATGCATGTGTAATAATTAAGTTATTGGAAGAACTATATAGGATTATTAAGATGACGGCGGAACCCTAGACTTTTACATTTTAATTTCTAAAACTGTTTTCTTTTAGTTTATTTTATTTTGAAACTTTATGTAATTATTTTCTATTACATTAATTTTTATTATTTTAAATCACAAAATCAGTTTTTTTCAAAACTTTGTTTTAAGTAATTAAGTAAGATTTGGTTTGACACAAATTATTCATTCAATCCCTGTGGAGAACGACATTGCTAGAGCCATTTATACTACAATTACCTTCTACCCTTGCAAGTATTTAAAGTGTTTTTATCCTTACTTTTGCAGGTTATAAAAATACCTATCAAGAAATTGGTACCGCTACCGGGAATTGTTTTAAATAATTTGTGTTCATCACATTCTTAGTTAATATTTTTGTATATATCTTTTTATTTACTTGATTTTATTTTTTTCTTTTTAGGTTACAATTTGTGCAACAATGGAATTTGTACCTCCTCCTGAATTCAATATACAACCCTGAGGATCGCCTTTATGGGTCAAATCTGCAGAATGGGGTTTTTATGGAAAACCTAACCTTCAAAATATGCATGTGTAATAATTAAGTTATTGGAAGAACTATATAGGATTATTAAGGTGACAGCGGATGTGACATCCCACATCGCCCAGGGGAGTGATCCTTAAATGTATATTCCCATCCCTACTTAGCATGAGGCCTTTTGGGAGCTCACTGGCTTCGGGTTCCATGGGAACTCCGAAGTTAAGCGAGTAGCGCACGAGAGCACTCCCAGGATGGGTGACCCATTGGGAAGTTCTCGTGTGAGTTCCCAGAAACAAAACCGTGAGGGAATGGTAAGCCCAAAGCGGACAATATCGTGCTACGGTGGTGGAGCGGGCCCGGGAAGTGGTCCCACCCGGGCCGGGATGTGACATAAAAAATGTTTGATACATATTTTTAAGTCATTAATTAAGATTTGGTTTGATACAAATTATTCATTCAATCCATGTGGAAAATGATCTTGCTAGAACCATCTATACTACAATTACCTTGTACTCTTACAAGTATTTAAAGTGTTATTATCCTTACTTTTGCATGTTATAAAAATACCTATCAAGAAATTAGTGCTGCTACTGGGGATTGTTTTAAATAATTTGTGTTTATCATATTCTTAGTTAATTATTTTTGTATATATCTTTTTATTTACTAGATTTTATTTTTTTTTCTTTTTAGGTTACAATTTGTGCAACAATGGAATTTGTACCTCCTCCTGAATTCAATATACAACCCCGAGGACCGCCTTTATGGGTCAAATCTGCAGAATGGGGTTTTTATGGATTTAAACCTACAATTTGTGCACTTTGCTGCTTGAAGACCCATGATATTTTGTAGTATCCCGAAAGGGAATATTTCTCAGGATTTATCCAAGAGCATATCAATATGAGAAACGACTAAAAAAGAAATTGGAACAATCCATATTCAAAGTTCTACACCCCTGACTATACTCGCTTGTGCAGCACAAATCCGTCGTCGTAGGCACCTACCACAATTGGCTCTTGTTTCAAACCATGGATACTCGCAAGCCTTTTAAACAACTGAGCTAGGGGCCTAGAGGATGGCGAAACTCTATTAAGGAATTCCTCCCCATTCATGCTTATGGCAGTACCTATTGGTTTTTTCTCACGACTCCTTCGGACGCATAGAAAACGGCGGATAAAATGATGATCTGACAGGAGACTGTACCAATGCTTGGAAACGAGCTTGCACTGAGAAACGGACTTAAAACAAGGGAGTCGATAAGGGATTTCAAACAATAAGACTCTGAACCAAAGGCAAAAATATCACTTTCTGAACCAAAGGCACAAAGAGGTGGCATTCAAGAACAAGCAGGGTTGGAAAGAGTTTCAAGGATTAATTTCGAAGATGTAAATGAAAACTTCAGTCAAGTGTTACTATCTGAAGGTGACAAAAGCCTCGCACCAAAACAAGAGGAACTCATCAAGACTTTTCTTCTGGGAATGCTCGTTTGTTGGTTGTTTCCTAAGATTCTAATATGACATGATTTTAATTTGACGCAATATATTCATTCATGTTTAATAGAGCACTAGATAGCTCTAAGAAACCAATTTATACTTCCAAGGCTTTATTCATGTGTGTATTTTCAAGGGGGAAAAAAAAGGCTATTAAAAACATAGACATCTGTAGCTGGTTCAGTCCTAACATGTATACCCAAAACAAATACTAACAAAAAGAATGCTCACATTTTCCTTTATTCAATGGAAGAACCGAAGAACGAAAAAACTAATGATTTACGTTTGAGGGATGACTACCACGTTGAAAGATCAACACCAGCCCAAAGAATAAGGGCTCAGAGCATGAAAATTAATTAGCACTTGGGCTAAAAAAAGTCTAGAAGAATGGTGAGGTTTCTACGTACCAACATGCAAGATTAGTGCAATTAATTCTAAACAACTTTAGCAAAGGAGGTTAGTGAAATAATCTAGCATGATGTTCCCATGCTTCTCCAAAGTTCCAACTAGGCCCTATAAAAGGAGAAAGCATCCAACCCATTTGTATCAAATAAGCAAGCAAGCAAATAACCAAGAAGTGAGAAGCAAGAAGTGATGGTAGTGAGTCATCTAGAGTTTGTCTCTAGAAAATAAGAGAGTGTCGTACATTTTAAAATTGTCTTTAATATTGCGTCTTTGAGAGTTTTTGTGTTGTAATATTTGTGAGTGCAATACAAATAATTTGTTTACTTGTTTTTGTCAGTGCACTATAATATTTGTGAATACATATCCGTGCGCAATCTTCCAAGGTCGTGAGAGTTGAACCTAGCTAGATGTTCCACTAAAAGAATGCTCGGCCTACATAATGCGAAGGGAACATTTCCGATCATCCAACTTGAAAAGAAATTGAGAGGTGCCGAAAACTCTTAAAACTTTATCCACACGTACACATACTTAACCAAAAACACTAAATTATACAGAATGATAGCAAACAGGTAACATACCGTGAGCAAAGCTAAACATAGAAGACATCCCACCCTATTATTCATCAGTCTTGGATAGAAACATGATACAAACATTCATCTCTTTATTTTATCAAATCAGGCTGAGAGGTCTGGCCTGGGCTCGCCACGTTGTGGTAGTTGACGGACTGGAGTCGGCCACCACGGAAGCACAAATGGAAAGAGGTGCCAACAACAGATTGTCGGATTTGTAGACACCTTTGACATCTCTCTTGTACGAGTATTGCACCTGATAACGTCTCTCTTGCTCCAGTCTCTGGTATTATCTATAACCAGATACACCAAATCCTCGTTATTCGGGTCGAAAACAACCGCAACAATATGATCTATATTTGGACTAATCACAACCATTTCTTCATCCCCCAAGTATACGCTGTTATAAGGTTTCACACACAAACTGCCTGCTCCCCCGTGGATCATGACCGTCTGATCACCTTCCTTTGCTTCATTGACCTCCCAAATAGACAGAGTGCGAGTAGAAGAGTAGTACACGCACATCCGCGGACGCCCGTCAAACGTAACTAGGCAATCCATTGAACCGGAATCCCACTCGCCACACTCACTGAAAAAGCATTTATAATGAGTTCTAGTACTATCACTGTTGTCGATCATGAACGGATCCAACCCAATAAGATAATCTCCTCCACCGCCTAGCCAATACAGCATTCTGTTGGAAGCAACGCCAGTACTCTCTCTACACAGTTCTCCTACTGCAAGGGCTGATGGGGATGATAAAACAAACTCCCTCCATTCACCGGTCTCAGAAAAGAAGACCTGCGCTTCGATTTCGCAGGAAAGTAAATCATCATCGTCATCGTCATCGTCATCAACACGAGGATCAATTAATCTCACAACCCTGTACTTATACTCCGCATTAAGCTGGATGATGTCCCCTTGCTGATCATCTTTCTTATAGTCATAGTAGGGAAGATCGCAGGTGAACCCCACCGTTACATAATTGTAGACTTGAGGTGGGGGAGGAAGAGGAACCCACTGGACTGTATGTGGATTGCAGATGTAGTAGTCGCGCTGACTATACTCGCTTGCGCAGCACAAAACTAAGTCGTTGTAGGCACCTACCACAATTGGCTCTTGTTTCAAACCGTGGATACTCATAATCCTATTGAACAACTGAGCTAGGGGCCTAGAGGATGGCGAAACTCCATTAAGGAATTCCTCCCCTTTCATGCTTATGGCAGTACCTATTGGTTTGTTCTCAAGACTCCTTTGGACGCATAGAAAACGGCGGATAAAATGATGATCTGACAGGAGAGTGCACCAATGCCTGGAAACGAGCTTGCATTGAGAAACGGACTTAAAACAAGGGAGTCGACAAAGGATTTCAACCAATAAAGACTCTGGCAGATGATCAAGATTTTTTGATGATGACCTGGTTGCTGCTGGTGTTGAGAATATTTTTTGTCTTTTAGAGTGATGAACATGATCATTAGAGGCCAAAGCCGGTGGAGGTGGTGGTGGTGGTGCTACTGGGGATGACTGGGTTATTGTACTGCTACCGCGGGGTCTTTTCATGGCGACCGGCATGAATCTGATTTAATTACAACTTTTTATTCTGAAAAGGGAAAAGGGAATCGAACTGAGAGACTTCAAAATTAGGATGCGATCGCGAGAGAAATACAAGCAGGGCTGCTTACCGCAATTGAATCACAGCCACAGGGCATGCTATTTTATAGGCACACAATACACCATCAATATTCCTTAACCTCGTAGGAATAGGAATAGGAATAGGAAAAGTGGTACCCTAACCCTAACGAAAATATATAGGAGCTGGGAAAAGTAATAGTCCTAATCCTTCTAGGATTAGCAATCCTAACCCTAACGAAAATATGTAGGAGCTGGGAAAAGTAATAGTCCTAATCCTTCTAGGATTAGCAATCCTAACCCTAACGAAAATATATAGGAACCGACAGATAATTAATAAGGGATTTTTAGATTTTAGGGCTTAGATAAGATAAATTGATCTTTAAAGTACACTAATGCTCTCAAATAAACCAAAAATTACGTTTTATGCCATTATATCAAAACTTATAATATTGGTTTTGATTCGTGTTTTCCTTGATTTAGGTTAATTTTCATGGCTTATAGTTGCCCAAAACCTAAGACCTAAACCACGAGAAATATTTCATTTTGATCGGAACACGAGTGATACAGTACGTGTTTCTATATAAGTAATGGTAAATTTTATTTTTTAAATTATTAACTTTTTAACCCACATATCACTTTATTTGTTAGTAATAAATAATAAGCAGAGACAAGACACGAGAAATAGCACCGGAAAAGATCAAACCCAAAAACCTTGTATAATTGCATCTACAAAAGACTCGGAGATGGATTTTATTTTTACCTGACAATGAGGGTAGCACTAGATCAGGAAACCGCTGATCTTGACACATGTGCTTCATAAATAGCATCAAAGGCAAAAGCAAGAGCCCCTATATTTACAACCTGCAACAGGCGAAATGAAACATTTTAGTAATAAGAGAAACAAGACACTAAAGAATTAGCTCCGGAAAAAATAAAAGCCAAAAACCATGGAGTTCTGCATCTACAAACAACTGAGAGATGGATATAACTTTTACCTTATAAAGAGAGCAGCACTAGTTTAGGAAATTGCTGATTTTGATACTGGCGTGTTCATAAATAGCATCAAAAGGGAAAAAGAAAGAGTCCCTATATATTACAACCTGCAACGGGGGAATGAAACATTTTAGTAATAAGCAGAACAAGACAGTAGAGAAATAGCACCGGAAAAGATAAAGGCCAAAAACGATGGTTTTCTGCATCTACAGACGGCTGAGAGATGGATTTTATTTTAACCAGACAAAGAGAGTAGCACTAGATCAGGACATCGCTGACTTAGACACTGACGTGTTCATAAATAGCATCAAAAAAAGGAAAAAGTTACAACGTACAACCGGGGGGGGGGGGGGGGGATGAAACATTTTGGTAATAAGCAGAGACAAGACGGTAGAGAAATAGCACCGGAAAAGATAAAAGCCAAAAACCATGATTTTCTGCATCTACAAACGAATGAGAGATGATATTATTTTTACCTGACAAAGAGAGTAGCACTAGATCAGGAAACTGCTGACTTTGACACTGGTGTGTTCATAAATAGCATCAAAAGCAAAAGCAAGAGTCCCTATATATTACAACCTGCAATGGGGGAAATGAAACATTTTAGTAATGAGCAGAGAAAATACAATAGATGGGAGAAAAAGCACCGGAAAAGATAAAAGCCAAAAACCTTGGTTTTCTGCATCTACGAAGTATGAACGACTGAGAGATGGATATAATTTTTACCCGACAAAGAGGGTAGCACTAGATCAGGAAATTGCTGATTTCGAGACTGGTGGGTTTATAAATAGCATCCAAAGGAAAAAGCAAGAGGCCTTATGTACTTTCAACTGCCCCAAAAATGAAACATGTTAAACATAAGACAAGACAGAAGAAAAAGGGCACCGGAAGGAAAGGATGAAACCTAAAATGTTCTGATCCATAAAAGACTGAGAAGGAATTTACCTGACAACGTGGGCAGAATTAGATCAGGAAACCTCTGATTTTGAACTTAGGTGCTCGTAAACAGGATCAAAAGGCAAGAGCTCTTATTTATCTTCGAACCTAGGAACTGGGACATCTGGTTTCCAATTGCACTATGAAATGAAATATTATGTTTGTTAAGAATTAGCAAAGACAAATAGAAAGAAACAGCAGGGAAAAAGGTAAAACTAAAACTAGAGCCCCTCCAATCCATCTAAATAAAAGACACACGTCAAGGAAAATATTGCCTCAAAGATTGTTGCTTTTTAATGAATTCTTCATATATGTACATGTCAAACATGAAAAACAAGTGCACCAGATTTATGTAGCATGTTGATAATGTGTGTGTGTGTGTGTGTGCGCGCATACGCGTATGTGTACATGCGAAGCTAAAACAGAATACCCACTGCACCACACCGGCAAATGTAAGCCAGCATGCATGCATTCATTCAGTAACTAGGATGATGTTGTTTGAATGAGGATTTGGAATCACCAACTGACAACTGCACTGGAAATGACGCATAGCATCATCCTAGTTAATAATAATGACAGAACAAAACACAATTTGAGTAATTGCTCGAGCAGGTCTGTCTGTCTTTCAGTCTGTCATGGTAACTTATTGAAAAATTCTTACTTGAATTAAGCCACCCTTTATAAAAACTTAGATCAGAATCTAACATCACCACGAAAGCGAGAGGCTTTATTTGTTTGTCGGTGAAAGAAATTCAAAAAGCACACAAAAACTCTTGAATAAATAACAAGTCTAGTGCTTTTTAATCAAATCAAATCAAATCAAATCAAATCAAATCAAATCAATTCAATTCAATTCAATTCAATTCAATTCAATTCAATTCAATTCGGTTCAATTCAATTCATAAAAACAAATAAGATTAATGTATGAATCTTAAGCACCCATGAATCTCAAGCACCAGAGAGAGGGATTTGTTGCTATACCTAAAAAAGCAAAGCAAAAAACCAAAATTTAGATATCAGGCATTGAGTTTAGCCACCCACCGCTGAATCTGACTCGGAAATGAAATGAATCGCAAATCCAATTTCCCTACCTGGCTCAGTCTCTTGGAAGCGGAAGCCGTGGCGGTGGTGGCCGCTAGGAGAAATGAAACCCTTAGCCGGCGGCGAGAAGGATAAGGATCGTCGGAAAACGCCAGCAGAGCCGTGCTTCGGTTTGGTCACCGACGGGATTGGGTGAGCGCCGAGGATTGTGCCATTGGTTTTTCAAATTTTACCCTTAATTTTTTAAGCTCGCCATTAGCTTCCACGTGTTGAAACCATTATCAGTTGGCAGTTATTTGATAATTTTTCGGGTGTTAACTTTCCACTTTTTTTTCACCGAACGATAATATTTATATTGGAGGAGGAAGAAGAGAGAGAGGGGGGGGGGGGGGGGGGGGGGGGGGTTGTGGTAATTACTAATAATATCGTTTAAAATTATTTTTAGCGATAATCGAACTAAAGATCTTTTATTTACAAATAAAGAGGAATATCACTCAACCATCGTATTAAATAACAACATTCATTTGAAACGCAAGAAATCTAAAATTAAATCTTTTTAAAAAAAGATTAAGTATCTAAAACTCTCCAAACTTTTTAGTGTCATTCCAAATTGGTCTCATACATTCCAAACAAGTACCCAACCTAAACTTATTGAAAATGTCACATCCATTAAGCCCAGTTAATTTTTCTGTTAAATATAAATGTGGCAACAGAGGGTTAAGAATTCAAATTCGGTTTCAATGTGATTTCTTTCTGCTCATGTAATTTCCTCATTTGTCGATTTTTGGCTCGTAAAGCTTTCAATTCTTCTTTTGTGGGGAGAGAGGGTGAAGATGGTGGTGGCCACATCATGAAAGTACATATCATTTTAGCACTCTCCATGACCTTCTCCTCAATGTCGATGGCTTGAATTGTAGGTGAAGTTGGTGGTTGTGCGCTGGGTTTGGAGGTGATGACCTGATGGGAGTGGTGGTGACCGTTAGTTGGTAGAGGGTAAACTTCCATGACCTTCTATTATTTTTGCAGATAAAGTAAACTCCAGCTACCAAAAGAAATTTAACTGAGCTTAATGGATGTCACATTTTTCAATATATTGGATACTTGTTTGAAATGTTCAAAAAATTTTGAGACCTATTTGGAATGACATTAAAAGGTCTTTTTTTTGGGGGGGGGGGGGGGGGTGGGTTTAGATACTTAATCTTAAAAAATATATGCAACGGTATTTTACTTGGACTAAAACTCAATTATTATGCTCCACCGGCTAATAACAACAATGATAAAGCATTTTTCACCTATGTATGGTCGGCTGTATGAATCATGGAAACTCCAATTACTCTACCCTTATGCCCTGAACCTCTCTCATAAAGACACCTTCTAACTAGAGCATTCGTAGGTCTGCTATTTACACATCCAAACCACCTTAACTGATTTTCTCTCATCTTATCTTCAATTGAGGCTACTCCTACTTTATCTTGAATATCCTCGTTCCAATCTTGTCATTTCCCGTTGCCCACGCATCCATTGAAACATTCTCATATTCGCTACACTCATTTTGTGCTTGTGTTGATGCGTTCTCATCATCAAAGCATTCTCATATGCACCGAGTCTTTTCCCATTATGCTCCACCCACATAAGCAAATTAATTAATTATAATTAACTTCTCACATGTTATAGTTTTTGGATACCAAAGATACTCCTAATTATATTTTTTGCGTATATTATGGATATGTTAGTTTTATGGTGTCAACAACTTTATGCTACCAACAACTAATAATTCTGAAATTAAATAATAATAAGAAGAAGAATAAATATGACAAAATAAGGAATATATACATAATAAATTTGATTTTGACTTTAGGTAAGGAATATATACATAATACATTTTCACCAAATTAGATAAAGAATTTTGCCTTGTGTAAGTGAGAGTTTCAAAATTTTAATGGTATTAGAGAGAAGGTGACTCAAATTTGAAGTCAACTTTTTAAGGGTATTAATGAGAAAAATAGTGAAAATATGAAGGAAAAAAATAGTTTGTAATAAAAATAATTCATTCTCAACGATAACCCCTCAAAACAAAATCAAAATTAACAGTTAACCAGATACTGAAAAGGATGGCAATTATGTGTAAAAGCAGGTTTGTAGTAGTGATTGATATTCAGATTATGTACAGCAAAAAAGGTATCCCCACGTGTCATGTGGCTAATCAGAGACTGTCTAAGCAACTGATCCGGAGAGTGCACCGAGGCTAGCATGAAATTACAGAACAATAGTTTTATACGGAACCTGAACCAACCTAGAAACATCAAACAGATACCGAAACTCAAACAATTCGACCTCTATGCCGTCACCCTCTTCTTCCCTGGCTGACCGCAGTAACGAATCTCTGGAATCAAATCCGGCCGCTCCCTTTGGAGTAGCCCTTGTCTGTGCCTAAAAGTTCTTTTCTGCTCCCGGTAAAACCCCTATGGCCAAATAACAAACGTAAGAAACATTTTTTTTCGTGAAGAATTAAAATACTTCTTAAATGAGAACTTACATAGTCATTCAAATCCTTCAGCCATTGAGTTCGATTTCGTCCATGCAACTTTTGCACAAGCTTGTGCAAGTTGGGGAAGTTATGAATAATGAACGAAGCGTTATCTCCTCCCCAGGAGATAACGCTTCTGATATCTTCATCTGCAGACGATCTTGTCAGTAGGCTGAAAAGATCGAGCACGAAACGTACTGATCTCCTCCGTACACCATAGCACGATCCCAGATTTTCTGTCACCTTCCAAGCCTGGGGAACTTCTGAAGTAAAAAACTCTTTGAAGACGATCTGGTGTTGCCCCTTCAACACCTCGGCTTTCAATGTTTTGATAACCTACAACAATATACATACATATATATATATATATATATATATATATATATATATTAATATAAATGACAGGAAAAAGTCAATGCAATTTCAGAAATCCGGAAAAGAAAAGGCCAAATGGTTCACCATTTTCACATCGCCCTCCGGTTCCTATATATGAGGTTCCACCAACAATATATTAGAAAATGAAAACATAAAATCAAACAACCTCAAAACCCTTTAACATTACAGAGACACGAAACCACACTTACATGAAAAAACATTCTGTGAATTTCCTTGAGAGCTTCTAGAACCGTTGCGAGAGCTCCCTCGGACTTGGTTTCATCAGGCCCGTACCTTTCAACCAGTATCAAATTTTGCCAATGATTTGTCCATCCCTATAGAACACAACCTTCAATTACAGAATCAAAATATTTCTCTGTTAAGTGACAATCGCACGGGAAAAAATCACTTACATTCTCTGTATTGGCAAGGATCACAGCTGCATTATCGTGTCCAAGCACAATATCTAGGCCTTCTTGATGTTTTTGGGCACCATCGTCACGTGAGATCACCCTATCACCGAAATGCTCCTTTGACGGATCAAGTAAATTAGCCTTTTCGAGCGCATCCGATCGTTCACCATCTGTGTACATGTACATCTCGTACATGTAGCTGGCATCCCTTAAGAAGGACCTAACAGAGGGCCTCAACGCTTTGCATTCATCTTGCGTGCACAGGCATGTATAAAACATTCAAAGAAATAGAAAAAGAACAAACCACAACGAGCGTATAAACTAAACCTGAAACACTAGATATGTTAAAATACATATAAGTACAAACATTACAAACCTTGGGGACCATCTGTTTGGCTCTGCAAGCAGTCCTCTCCTGAATCGGCGGAATGAAGGAGTGTGTGATCTAGATCAACTAGTAAGTGAAGCTTCTTGCGGTGCAGCAATTTCTTAATGCCTAATTTCTTCACTCTCTCAAGTTCCTCATTTTTAAGCATCAATCCCTGCAATAGGTACCAATAGATTAGGAAGTCATTCCTTACCAGAAAATGGATACATGAAACGATTAAGCCTTTTTCAAGCATACGTTTATCTTTCCAAAATATAGCAACAAATTATGAATACATGTCACATACCTTGTCTTCGTACCCAAAATCTTTCTCGTTTACGGGAAGCCCGCACACATAACACATATCTTGAAAGGAACCAGGGTGAGTACACGCCTCCTTCGACGACGCTTCTGGACATATTAGCATGGTAAAGCCAAAGCGAACATAGTGCACACATTTTAGTACTGTAATTTGAAAACCCACCAAAATAGTTACCCGCTTTTTGCTTTTCAGTATCATCTTCGGACTCCGATGAACCATGCAGGTCTCCCTCAAGAAATCGGCCAAATTCCTCAATGCTAGAGGAGCCGTATTGTGGCGAATTCATCTAAATTATCTAACAATTTATAAACAAATTGTGATTTCTGAGTACCCACATAGAAAATTCACATAAATTATGAAAAGAAAAATAAAAGAAATCACGCATAAAAATTAGTAGAAACGTGAACAACCGTACCGCGAATTCAGATGGCAGCGAGATCGAAAGTTCTGCGAAATGTTGGATGATGCCCTGGTTTTAGGGCTGCAGTGTGGGAAAATCGAGCTCGTAAAATTTTTTAAATTGGGGATGAGCGGGAGAAAGAAGTATTTGAAATTCTTGATAAACTTCGAAAATTAGGATTTAGAAAGCACATGAACAAATCACATAAATCGAGAAACTATATTTGCAGGAAAAGACAATTGAGACAATGAATTCAGTCACACATTTCATCAATTCTGAAGAAGCAGAAAATCGCAATTTCCAGAGATCAAAGATTCAAGAAGTGGTGAAGAAGAAGCGTAGAAGATAGCCATACCAGATAAAAGAGAGACGGAAGCAGAAAAAGAAATCAGGTTCGGAAGAGCTCAGCCAAGATCAAGAGAGCTCATCCACGGCCGGCGAAGATATCAGAGGTATTAGGGAGGAATGAGATAATTGGCGGGAATTGGGAGTGAGATAATAGGCGGTGGTCTTTCAAAAAAGGATAATAGGCGGTGTTATTTTTTTGCCTTGTTTTTTTTCAAGTCGATCAATCGTGTGTCCATTCTCCTACATCGGAATCAATGACATCTTTTAATTGAGAGAGTGATAAATTTAGATTCTAAAATATTTTAATGGTTTTTTTTATTATATCGATATTTTTACACTAAAAGGAGGGGAGTTCGGCTAAGCCACATAATGGGCAGCTTAATTTGATATCAAAATCGACGTCCACGAGATTCGAACCTAAAACGGCTCACTTCCAAGAAAAGATGAGTGCCGCCAAACCGTAGTACTGAGTGGCAATAGATTTTTTTAAGTGACTGATTTCAATGAACTTTAATAATTTTATGTAAAATTATGACAAATTATTATGTATTTCTATTATAGATTTCTATGAATTTCTTAAGAACGTCAATCAGTTCAATTAGTTGACAATCAAGGAACTCTAACACCCACTGCCGACAGAGATCAACATGGCCATAGATCCCAACCACATCAGCCTCCAGGGCCGCCACCAATGATTTGAGGAGGAACATAAAAAGGAAAAATTCAGGGGAGAAATTGTGGTCTTGAGCACTGGTTTAAAGGACAACTGAGTTGAAGGACAGAGATGAGAGGGGTAAACCCCGATGGATGAGGATGAAGAAGATGAAATCGAAGAGGACGATAATATGTGTTTCGACGAGGTTGGCAGGTTATGTTGTTTGGCGTGAACACAAATTAGAGGGGGGAGGTTTTATTGTTTATGGCATTTCGTATTCGTATCACCCACCCTCAAATCCATCAAAATCCCTCATTCATTAAAATTCTAGTAAACCTGTAGCATTCTCACTACAATTTTTTTTTTTTTAAAATCATGTTTGACTACTCGCGAATTTGGATGTTCTCTTTAAAATCCTTTTAAATTGTAATTTGACTACACCTAGATTTTAAAATCTTTTAAATGCTAATTGACCACACCCAAATTTCAAACTCTATTAAAATCCTAATTTGACAATCATTTTCCTATCAAAATTTACACGTAATCATGTTTTCAAGGATTACTGATCTGAACGATTTTACACACGAGCCGTGTCACATCCCGGCCCGAGCCCCCACCACATTCCGGGCTCGACTCCGCCGTAGCACGATATTGTCTGCTTTGGGCACCAACCAAGCTCTCACGGTTTTGTTTCTGGGAACTCACACGATGGAACCCATCATGGGATTGCTCTCGTGCACTACTTGCTTAACTTTGGAGTTCCGATGGAACCCGAAGCCAATGAGCTTCCAAAAGGCCTCGTGCTAGGTAGAGATGGGAATATACATATATGGATCACTCCCCTGGACGGTGTGGGATGTCACAATCCATCCCCCTTAGACCATCTCCAATGGTGACCTAAAACTTAAAAATATTTAGCCTAGAAACAGCTTTTCTGCTCCAACCCTTCTGGCCTAAAATTTTAGCTCGAGATTATCAAAAAATGAATTAAGGCTAATTATTTTTTAAATTAACTTTTAAAAAAAAATTATGTAGACTATCCTAAATTAATTATATGAACATTTTAATCTAAAAATATTTAAATTCCGATAAATTTTGAAAAAACACTAAATCAATACATGAAAATATTTAAATATTTTTTTTAAATTATTTTAGCCGTTGGATTTTAATTTGGACCATTAGATCTTTTTTTTTTTTTTTTTACTGTTAGATTTGATTATAATCAATCTAAGCCGTTGGATTCAATAAATATATAAATATAAAACTAAAAAAAAATATTTGAATGTGGACCGTTGGATTAACCAATGGTCCAATTACCACCACCACCCAATGAAGAAAAGTAGCAGTTGGCTACAAACAAAACTTGACAAACCGGAGGACACACCCACGTGGGTGGGGTCCACCTCGGTTGAATGCAGGTTGAAGGCCTTGCGTGCTGCGCGTGGAGCAAGTGATAGAGGGCAATTGGGCTTCACAGCCCAGGTTTCAGTAATAGAAGCTGGGGTTCGGGCGGGACCACTTCCCGGGCTCGACTCCACCGTAGCACGATATTGTCCGCTTTGAACCCCGACCACGCCCTCACGGTTTTGTTTTTGGGAACTCACACGAGAACTTCCTAGTGGGTCACCCATCATGAGATTGCTTTCGCGCGTTACTCGCTTAACTTTGGAGTTCCGATGGAACCCGAAGCCAGTGAGTTCCCAAAAGGCCTCGTGCTAGATATAGATGGAAATATACATATAAGGATCACTCCCCTGGGCGATGTGGGATGTCACAAGCCGAGCCCCTACGACTCCAACCAGTAATAAAATTGATGAGATTCCAATAATGAAGACATGTAATCTTTTAAATACTAAAATGATGACATTGAATAAGTCAAAGGAGCTTGATCCAAAATAGAAAAACAATAAGGTTTGGGGTGTATCGGAGAAATAACATTCTTAGGTTGGTTTAAAAGCTGTTCAGGCACTATTTCCTTAGATTCCAAGCAAGTGAGGACACTAAATTATTCCAAATCTTTATATATAAAGCCAAGAACCCATTTTCGGGTCACAAGCTTTACTAAAATGTTTTGGACGAAAATGCCCCCAAAACAAAAAATTTCAAAAGTAGTCCAAAATAATGCACCAAATAATACAAGTGTATTTTCGTCATTTTAACAGTATTTTTTTTAATAATTAATTCTTTTTGTATAGGTTTTTTTTTTAATTAGTACCTTACAATAGGCTAGCAATAATGTGATTCAATTAGTTGTTCATTAAATATTATTTTCTCTATTTTTAAACACGTTCAAAATATCTTAAGAGGTGTGTAATGCCGGTTATAAAAAAAGTTTTTCCCACACGCATAATAATGTGATTAAATTAGTTGTTAAATGATTGTTTTTTTTTTTTGAACATATGATATTATCTATACTAAGGGGAAAGGGGTGGGTTTGACCTCACAATGGGCTAGTAATAATGTGATTCAATCAGTTGTTTATTAAATATTATTTTCTTTATTCTTAATGCAAATTCAATAGAATGTAGATGGAAATTGAAAAATCGATTTTATTATGTGAATTCAGCTGCTTTGATTGGTTTGTGAGGGGTTTTTTTCTAGCATGATCTAAGATTATTAATTTACTTCAAATATTTAACTTTCCTTTTGTCAATTCATGTATATAAATATATTTAAAATGTGTAAATCGTGCTTAGCATGCCGTGATTCAAAATGCGTGCATGAAGACTAGTTGAAAACCTAAGCTATCTTGAAGTGGGTTAATTATCTGTTAGGTTCAAGATCGAGTTATGCAACCACCTTGTTAGGATTAGGATGAAGGGCATGTCATAGACACGTGCTTCAACAGTTATAAACTATATTTTCATCCTTATTTTTTCGGTTCGATCAAAATTATGCCGATTCTCCTACATCACATTAATAACTTTTATTTTAATTCCTATAATTATTGTATTATTCTTTCTATCAAATATAATGGGTTCTTTAGATATAGATCTTTGAAACTCCTATTTTCTAAATAAAAACTCACCTAAATTTACACATTCAAATAAAACCCAAATTTCAAATAGACCGCCATGTAGACAAATATATGACCACCTATTACAATACATTTACAACTTATGTTGCAAAATCCTAATTTGGTCAATAAATGTTATTAGTTATCCGAGCAATTAAATTCATATGGATATTTTACCTTTCTTGTATCATAAATATTAGTAACATATATACATTAATTTACCAAATAAAAAAAAAGACATATCTTGTATGGAAAAAATAATATTGTTTGAATCATGTAATTACCTACATACAAATTAATTTACCTACTTATAAAATATTGTACTAATTTACTTACATTTTGAATCATGTAATTACCTACATACAAATATTATACTAATTTACCTTCATTTAAATTAATTTACCTACTTGTAAGATATTATACTAATTTACCTACATTTAAATTAATTTACCTATTTCAAAAATAATTAGTGATATTAGATAATGTTCGAATGTTGTGGGTTTATGCTTGTAGGCAATTAAATAAACTTTTAATCTAATGCACATAAATTATGTAGGTAAATTAGATCATTTTGGAAGTAAATTAGATCCTTTAAATTTTGGTTCGATGGAATAGGTAAATTAGACTATTTTGTAGATAAAAATTACGCGAAACATATATAGCTTTTGTTTTGTGGATTAGGGACTGGAGTATTAGCCGAAGTTGTTTTAGGCTTATTGTTGTGTTGGTTGGTAAATTAACTTATATATTTAATGCACAAAATTATGAATTAGTATTATTATTGAGTATAACAATTTGAAAGTTAATACATTGAATATACAATGAATGACATGAATTAAATGGATGTAACAAGTAACTGATCCAAAAATCCTATCCAAGTATTAATAGGAGCAGTTTAGGCATTCGGAAAATGCACAATTTGAAAAGTCAAACTTAATTAAAGAATTTGTTTAGTTGAAGGCTAGTAAATGAGCTTTATGCAAGATAACAAAATGAGATGGGTTTTAGTAGAGGAAAATATAGTTTCAAGGGGTAATATCAAATTTTCAGAGAACATTTATAATGAGTTCTAGATAAACTAGCATTATTGTTAGAATATAATAAGAATTTGAATAGAGTACTGTGCATGCACCCTTGCATTGAGAAACATACTTATATCATGATAGTCGGACAAATATTCAACCAATAGGGCATGTTTGCTCGACTGGATTAGAACTGTGATTACTGATTGCGCTAACCAATCCCACTCTAGTACAAAGATGGGTTTAAATAACAATCGGATAAGCAGGATTAAACCTTTCTTAAGTGGGCATAATTAGATTGATCAAAGTTGGGGAGTTAGATACATTATGTTTGTTTTATCAGACGTTCTAATCCTTTTAAATCAAATTAGACACTCGCAAAATTTTTTTCGCTCTTCGGTTGGTTTTAGAAAAATACTTCCTTGAACATATTTTCCTCCACTATGTTGGATTATAATTGACATTAAGTCAATATAAATAAGCCACAACAATTCTTTATATATATCACATTTGTATCATCTCTTTAATAAAGATGAGATTCACATATTGGTGGGTCCTACCTTTATTAGTAATGATACAAATATGATATAAAAATGTGATAAGTGTAGCATCG